CCTCAGTGCTACTTAACTCATCTCTGCAGGGAAGTCAGCAGGGTCCCCTCATTTCTCCAAGAAGGAGAGGCCAGGAAAACCCATGGGCCCAAAATCCCATTCCTTTCTTCTGCCGTAGATGTCTGTTTCATTTCCTGTCTACCTTAAAATCCTCTGATGTCGTGGCCTTGGTCCTAGGCTCAAATGGCAGTAAGAAGGTTAGAATGGACTGTAGTTGTGTGTTTTTCTCCTCCCTGGGCGGTTAGGCCATGGCAATACCGCAGCAGGATAGGCTCTGGGTAACTGGTTTCTCATGAGGCCTTCTCAAGAAGAACACAGTGCTCTGGTGTATGTCAAAATGGTTCCTTCTGCCTCTTCCTGTGGAAGCACATGCGAATTCTTCTGTTATATACTATGAACACCAGGTGTAGGTCCTGGAGTCAAATACCAGAGGAGATTCCACCTCCCGCCCTGCCCCCGCCAGCATGCGCTGTGAGATCCTGGTTGAGTTCCTAGGGTAAAAACTCACCCAGCTGGGGGAGATGGGGACGCTCTATGACCGAGCACCCCTGGAATTTTCAACTCTCAGAGCTGCCCACATGGAGCAGTTTGTGGGTTGCAGTGTAGGCTGTCTCACCCTGGCACTGGCTCCCACTGAGAGGTCTCCACGTGAGTCTCTGCTCAAGGAACCATCACTCCCTGTAAATGTCTGTCTGTCTCTCCACTCTTGGGACCCAAGGTCTGCCCAGGGTTCACCTCTCTTATGATCCTACAATAGTTTTCTCTCTTGGTTTTTCAGTTCCTTCAGCTTTTCACTTGTTGTTAGGACAGAGTGGTGACATCTGAGCTCCTGACACAGGGAACCCAGTACCGTTAATTTTCAGTTGAAATCCTCCAGTTAATTTGGCAGTTCTGAATTTCCCCCAGGCTAAAGAGAATGGATGTGTGTTGCTGTTATTGTGGCTGTAGGGTGGTTATTGTTGTGGTTTTGTTGTTGCTGTTGAGCCTACTTCGTACATAAGTTGTACAGAACTGAAAGTAAGCCTTTAGGTGTGGGGTGGAGGAACACACTTTCCTCTACCCTTAAGTTTCTTTTGACTGGTCTGATAATCAAATAGACATGGCACAGATTAGCAAGACAAAATAACTAAACTTAATACATTTGTATGGGAACCCCCAAACATGAGAGAGTCAGAGACTCCACATATACAAAAAGGGAACATGGGAACAGAAGACATTCTGAGCAAGGGATGAGGTAATGTGCCTTGGGGCATCAAAGAGTCATTGCAGAATGATGAGAAGAGCAGATGTTTAGTAAATAGAAAGTCTCCCATTATAGGCAAGGTCCCTAATTCAAGTTCTTCCAGGTAGTGGAGGGAAGGGTAGAGGTTTGTCTTGAGACGACAGCTAAAGTTCCCCTTTGCTCAGAACAATCTGGGTACCCCAGAAGCCTATTTTGGGATGACTAGTTCTGAATCCCGGCAGTTGTAACTCTTTTAATTGCATGGAAACTCACATAAAAATTTTCATCCAGATATGGGACTATTGTACACCCTGGTAAATCATCTTTAAAATTTTTTTTAAATAAAAAAGCACAAGAATCTCAAGTAAAAGAATGGAAATAAACATTATGGTTAGAGTTTATCAGTGTTATAATTTTTCCCCCCAGGCTAGGTTGTTTCCAATTGATCTTGATTTCTAGGTTTAAAACATATGAAGTAAGATTGTAAAATCAAGGGCCAAATAGTCAAGTGACAGTCAAGTGAATCGGTTATTTTCCTTGGTGACTTTCGATAGATTATGCTATATTTAGTGCTGAAGTTTGGAGAAGTTTTAGTGATAACTGGAAGCAATCTAAAGAATCCTCACATTCCAAGGTCTAAACTTCCGTGAGTTCACTCAATAACTTAAGATGGGCTCAGAGAGGAATTGTTTTATATTTCATGCTAGGAGACCTGAGTCTTTAGAAGAAAAAAAACAAAACAAAACTCTTGTTTCTCTGTCTCCTTCCTGAAAACTTCTATCAATCAGGAAATCTACTCTGTAGCGCCAAATAAAATAAGGGGCAAAGGGAGTGTCTCACTGAAATAAATGTTTGCTCTTGCAGTTTTCCAATCCAAGCAGAATGCAACTCTCTCTACCTAACTAGATTCAGACTTTCTGCATGCTAGAAATTGAGCCTTTTAATAGCAGAGAGACTGGTGAATTTGCCACAATGAATGAATTTCCATTCATTCAACAGTGATTGGGGATACTTTTTTGAGAGATACAGTGCTAAGTGCCAAAGAAAAGGATTTTTTTTTAACCTTAGCCCCTCCCCCCAGCTCAGCAGGAGGCACTTCTTACAGATTCAAAGTGCGCTTGAAGAATGAGTGAACATCAGTCTCTCCCTATTTAGAAAGTAAAGCTTGAAATAACACCTTCCGGGCGTAGACCCCAATTCTCATGTTCCCGCCCCCTCAGTCGTGGTCTGTAACCACCAAAGATTTCAGAGTGGGGAATAAATGTTGGTTTTGAAGGCTGAAGGCACACCTGGTCGCCAGGGGTGGAGTTCTGAGCCCAGAAAGTGACGTGACAATGAAAACAGCTTCCAGGGCTGTTTCTTAACTGTATTGCACTCCCTGTTGCGCCGGTGAACGCTGTGGTTCGTTCGCTCTTCAGGAAAATGAAATCCACAGACACACATACTTACAAATGATTTCAGAAGACTCACGTGTTAGAAAACGCAGCTCTTGGAATGTAAGATATTTTCACAAAAGTATTTGGCGCTTATGAGCAGAGACTCACAACAGCCTCAAGTGGCAGAGCCCAATTTCCACACCACACAGTATCCACTATGCCTGCCGCCTTCGCCGATCCGGCGCTGCAACTCTGCACGGAACGCTGGGCCAGGGCTCGGGGCTCAAAATGCTGAGCCCCCGAAGCCCGGGACTGGGTGTCGACACCCGCTACCTGCTTCTAGTCTCCAGGAGGCACTGAGACCAGGACAAGACATTGTGATCCCTGTCTGTTCTTTCCGTCAACCGCCTCCCCTGCCTCTGTACCTGGTGGCGCACCTGTGTTGTACAGAACAGTTTTTCCACCCCGTGGTTCCCCTGCCGCCCTGCCAGTGCGCCTGTGGACAGCGAGTTTCACACACCCAGCTCCCATCCCCAAGCTTTTATTCCCTCGTGGCAGTGGCGCCCCATCAGTTAGGGAGTAAAGTTTAATAATGGCACCTTGGAAGTTAGGTGTCCCCAAGCAAAGAGGTAACCAACCTGGAAGGGGTGCAAGGCAGGTGTGTTCTGGGAAATACTAAGGCTTCTGGAGACTGAGGACAAGGGTGCAGACCCCTGGGCCAGGTCACCCGCGGAGGAGACGGGGCTCGAGTCTCTCTGCCGGGGAACCACCTTGCCGGACTCCTTTCCTGCTGCCACAGCCCCGACACTTCCGCTGTGCTCCCCCGCACTGGCAGACTCTGTTGATGCTGTTGCGGAGCGCGCGCTGCGCGCTCAAACCCGGAGATCTTGAGGACAGCGAGAAAAGCTTGTTTCTCCGCACTCTACAGGCTGAGAGCAGCAACTCAGGAGCAGGGACTTGCCAGGCGGGCTTGGAGCAGGAAGCTCAAGGGGAAGGGGTCCTACAGCGGTTGTGCTGGGCGTGAGAGGGTCGAGGTTTTCTAGTTGGGTGTTAACGGAGCACTCTCGCTCTTGCGGGCTGGGATAGGTATGATGCGAACTGCCAAGCCGGGATGTAGATAAGAGCGCACGAGAGACTGAGAGGCAGGCTTGGGACAAGATTCAGAGTGAACCCGCGCCTATGGCCCTATGCGCCAGTGTCTGCTTGCGAGTACATGTGCCTTGGGGAATGGGCATGTGTTTGGAGACAGCAATGAGTTTGTGCGTGTGGAAGAGTATGACTGGAAATGACAGTGAGCAATAGTCTCTGCAGGGACTCCCGTAAAGCCTGCCTTGCTCTTTATTGGAGAATTGAAGTGTGGGGGATGCGGGTGCTGGTCCGGAATTACACGCCAATGGGACATCTTGGCAAACAGCTGCCGGAAACAGGGGCAGCTGGGCAAATGGTTCCAGCGGCCAGATGAGCAATAGGTGATGGATGGCGGGGTAGAAAAGGAGTTTGGTAGGGCTGCTTGGAAGCTGGGAAAGCATGTGTGCCTTGCTCCACCCAGTTGTGGCCCAGTGGGACATTGGCTCCCTTCTATCCACTTGAAGGACCACCCAGGGCAAATCCAGGCTGCCCAGAATGTGGGCAATCCTATAGTATGGATCACAATCTTAAGGAATTCCATATAGGGGCCTTGAAGTTCTTCCAGATCCCTACCTAGCTAGGGGCAGGGCGAGGCAAATTACTAATCACAACATCCCTTCAAGACATTGATGCCCCATTTTAAAGATGAGTGCACTGAGGCCCCGAGAAGTTACTTGTCCATAATTCTACCACCTGGAATTTGCTCATCCGGAATTGAATTCAGTCTGGCAAAGTTCTTGCTTCCACCTCCCTCTCTTTTTCCCACAAGCAGCCCTCCTCTGTGGGTGATTTCTGATGCCTGAATTAAACATGCTGCTGGGACCCAGAAAACCCTGTTAGGTATTAACCCTCTCACTCTCACTTGGATGGGGGTCGAAGGTCAGACTTGGGGTCGCCAGGAGTCCCTGCGGTCCCGACCCCAGCCCTAGAAGACCGCACAGCTGGGGAAAGGAGTGGGATGCATGTTCAAAACCGGATTAAACTGAACAGGTGAAATTTGCAATGACGTCAAACTGTCTTCAATATCCTGCTCACTTCGTGGGTGTTTTTCTTGGTCCCCACCACTCCCCCCGTCCCCTTTCCATCAATGACCTCAATGCAAATACAAGTGGGATGATCCTGATGGATGCTACAGGTTCTGGACGCAAGTGGGTGACACAAATACGTCGGAGGCACAGGATCCTTCTCATTGGTTGCCCGGAGCTCCTGGACCACCCCAGACCCAGAGCAGCGGGAATAAGAGGAGCCGCCGGTGCCGGGAGGCATCAGAGCGACTTTCCACTTGGAGTGTCCCTGCCACTTCCACAGTGCAGTCGCCTGACACGAACGCCACCGCCGCCGCCGCTGCTACCTGCTGCAGGTGAGCCCCGAGACTCCTGCTTAGCTGAGCGATTCTCTTTCTCTCTCCTTCTCCCTCTCCTCTCTCTGCATTACTCTCTCTCTTGGTCGATCTCCCTGCCGGTCTCAAAGTCTCTCTCCACTTCTGTCTGTTAGTCCGCTTTCATCCCAAACTCCTACCCGGGCTAACACTGGACAGTCTCAGTCCGGGGACTTTCTGCTCCACTCTTCCCGCGCAAGAGCCGGGCTACAGTCTCGCTGTCTTTAGCTGCACGCGTGCTTAGAACGATCTCTGACGCTGGAGTTCCCCAGGTACCGCGCGCAAAGCAGGATGTAGGAGTAACTTTCTGCAGATTGCGCGCTCGCAGATCTGTCTCGTGCCTAGCGGTCCCTGGGAACTCGGTTCGGAACCTGGGTCAGCGCGAGTAGGGGTGCAAATAGGCTCAAAGACCGAGGGCAGGCAGCCATTAAATGCAAGTCCCAGTGCGGGTTGTGGGCGCATTTTTCCCAGTTTAAGTCCTCAGTTTACCAGTCTGCTAGGCTTGGTTCTTAGAGGGGACACTGCCAAAATGCGGGGAGGCTAAGCAGTAGCATGGGGTCTTGGGTTTCTCAGGGATTCCAACTGGCGATATTCTTTCTCTACCTACCCCCACATACACCCTTAGGTGTGAGCAAAAGCGCCACACAGGGAATACAGCTCTGGGTTGTGTTACAAGAGCAGCTGTGGTGACAGGGCGTCAGAGACTGTCCTCAACGGAGACTTGGCCAACAGGTGCATGTGAGAGTCGGTGGGGCGGGGCTGCAGGGAGGGAGCTGTGGACTGAGACCTCTTCACCTAGTTGTCCTGACAGAATTGTTCCTCCAGCTTCCCTAAACCATGCACACTGCAGGCTCACTGGACCTTCCAGCAGTCCACTTCGCTGATATGGAAAAAACGGCGAAGGGAAAAGAAGTGACCATCCTGAAGCCATGGACCAGGGCCACCGACCTGGGAGTTAGTTTCAGAAACAGGACCAATACAGGTCTGTGGGCTCATAAAACGTTGAACTGGGGCAGCTGTTGACATTGTTTTCCCTTGCAGAGAGGCAAAATGGGCTTTTTGAAGTTCTCCCTCCTCCTGGCTCTTGGCATCTTCGTCCTGTACCAGGCGGGCAAGCTCCAGGCAGCGCCCTCCAAGTAAGATGCCCTAAAAGTAGCCCACTCCCCTCCCACCGCCCCTGGGGTCAAACGCTTCTGTGGTCTGAATTACGGTGTGCATGTTTAACATTGACTGGGGGTGGGGGTGGGAGGAAGGGCAAAAGGAGTGTATGTTGTTTTTTTTCCGGATATAAATAGGTGTGGCACAAATTGCCAAACAGTAATGATATGGTATTCTTTACTGTAAATTTCACAAAACTCATTTAGTCTCATAGAGTGTTTTTTGTTGTTTTTTTTTTTTTTACCAAATTTTTCTATCTTTCTCCAGCTCATTTTTCTAATTCAGCCATGATCTCAGACATGAGTTGCCTGGGTGCTTGTCCTGGGGAGGAGACAGGAAGGACTCAGAGCTTGTATTGGATTTGCTACCTCTCTGCAGGTCCTCTGTGGAGAACAGCGCCCCACCTGCTTCACTCAATGAGGAGGAAGGGGACCTCCTTCTGGCTATTCTGGTGAGGGAGTTCATGAAGAAGATGGCCAGCGAGAAGGAGCGCCTGGCAGAAGGCTCCAGGTAAGGCTTCACACCTGCCCGGCACAGGGTATGCTGGATGGTCCTTGTGGCCCACCTGAATCAGCAAGAACAGAAGGTAGGTACCTCCAGAAATCAATGATGTAAACTCTCTTCCTCTTTCAGGTGAGTCTGGGGAACTTTTGTATTCCTAAGAAGGGATATTTGGTGTCCTTGAGTGAGATGTGGCTTCTAGACAATCCTTGTGAAGGGGCTGGATGTGGAACCATAATTCTCTCTCGTCTCATAAGCCATAGTTGATTTTTAATTTATACAAGAATAATGGGCTATTACAGCTCTGCGTCCCGTTGCCAGTCACCCAGAGCCCCCTTTGGGATTTTTGACACCCATGGTAATATCTACGGGGAGTTACCATGACATTTTCCCTAATGGCTTATGATTGTCTGCTGTGATGATTGTGTTCAGTAGGAGAAACACTGAAGGTTCATTGGCACCTTTCAGAACAGTAATTTTACAATGACTGTCCCACAGGGCAGACTCTGCCCCCAACAACCTCTTACTGACAGATCTTCTGTTTTTCTCCATCATGTAAAACAGCGTTACTGCCCAGAAGAGAGCCTGCAACACTGGCACCTGCCTGACCCAGAAGCTGGCAGGCTTGCTGAGCAGATCTGGAAGTGTGGCACACACCAAAATTCTGCCCCCTGACATGGTTGCCAACAACTCCGGCCGGAAAGGCAGGGACCTTGATGCTTAAGCATCTGAAAGACCCCAGGAAGAAGGTGACTGCCTTTGTACTGTTGGGTGGGAGGATGGATGAGTGGGTGTCGCAGGGGTACAGTCCACTCTCTAACCGTCCCTAGCCCATTTCAGTGAAAAATCTATGTGGGAAAGTGTCTAGGGAAGGACACAGAGTCCCAGTAGATCTTGTTTATTTAACACACTCTTCCCGGAAGTTATAATTGTGATTATTCTAGTATTTGAGTTCGAAAGGTAATGACCCTACGCTTTTGGACTGTACACTACAGCGTTGTGTACATATGAATTCAGAGCATACACTCGGGGTCAAGAACTGTGTTAGTCCTCTACTACAGATACGACAATGGACCAGACACTGTCTCTGAGCCTCAGTTTCTCCATCTGTAAATTGAGGGCAACAATTGCAGCCACCTGCTAGTATTAATAGAAAGGGAAAAAGATAGTAGATGTCAATAGCCTCACAATTAATAAATAACTAAATTCTAGTTGCTCTTTTTCTCCTAGGTCACCCTGAAGCTGAACTCTACTTCTTCAAATTCATCATAAAATCAGCTCAGAGGAATGCATGGAAGACACACCCTTCTGCATGTTACTTGACCTTAAAAACACCCCATCTTACCTAAAATAAAATAAATCCAAATGCATATTATCTGGTGTGCATCTTTTCATATTTTATTCTATATTCAATAAATATGACAGCATTGGTTTACCTGGTAGCAACTCTGGGTTGGGCCAACCTGTTGATGTTGGTAATTCTCCCAGACCTTCAGGGGCCATGAAATCGCCACCTCCGGGGTATCTGGGAACACGTAGTAATGCTGTGCCTCAAAGAAACCTTTCTTTAAAGAAACCTGGTCTTTTGAGAACTTCACCAAGGGGAAAAAAGTGTAATTTGATACACTTAGAAGAAGTCCCTCCTGCTGTTTATGCTGTTTTTCCCAGGGAGTCTCGGGGTCCTCTGAACACTCTGTTGACCAGGCTGACTCAGTGAGGCAAAGGCAACACGCTTGGGATGGGTCTTCAGTATCCTATACCCTCAGTTTTTAGTAAAATATCCCCTGTTGGGCCCTGACCAGTGTGGCTCAGTTGGTTGGGCATCATCCTGCAAAGTGAAAGGTCACTGGTTCACTTCCTGGGCAGGGCACAGGCCAGGGTTGCGGGTTCGGTCCCTGACTGAGGCAATTGTTCGTGGTTGCCGTCTCACATGGATGTTTCTCTCCCTTTCTTTCTCCCTCCCTTCCCCAATTAAAAAATAAATAAATAAATAAATAAATAAATAAATAAATAAAATGAAAATATCCCTTGTTGGAATTAGAACCCTGTACACTTCAAAAAGACAAGTCACATTTGTTTTCAGAGAGTATCCTGGTCCCCAGATATAAAGGACACCAGTCCCTACTTATTAATTCAGGTTACCCATCCCTGCTTTTCTTCCCCATGAACAAACTGCCCCCCCACCCCCAGCTTGGCTTTTGAGATGGGATTGGCAGACTGGCAGACTTGGAAAGGTCACCAGAGGCCATCCAACCCAACTTTTTTATTCTCTGACATGCAGAGAAGTCCATTGCCTAAGTTCCTGCGGTAAGTCTGAGACATTCCCACATTTAACAAATGCTAATTAAGTACCTGCTAGATTTTTGACACAGTTTGAACCACCGGGAATAGGGCAATGGACAGAAGAGACAAAACCTTTATATTCATGGAGCACTATTCTAAATGGGGAGACTGAGGCAATGAATGCTGTGAAATCAGACACTCTGTATTGGAAGGAACCTGGGAGGTCATAGGCTATGAGGCCCTATTCAAGGTAGAAATTTCCCAGCATCAGCATCCCTGGCATCTGCTGGGACTGCTGGTGACAAGCTGCTGGCTATAACTCCCAGGGTGACTGAGCAGCCAGTTTCACTCAGGGACAGTCAATTAATTGGGATTATTTAGTTAGAGAAATCAGCCCCTTCCATACATTGACTCTAGTTATTTCCTCAGGAGCACATAGAATTATGACCCTTCCTCCCATTTGGTCTGTAGTTCACACTGTAGCCCAACCTTTGCCTAAAAGGAAGGTCAGACCATGTCTCCCTTATGCATGAAGTTGCTTCCTTGTCTCACAAAGTAAATATCTGGAGCATTGCGAAGGTCCAAGCTGATCTGCCCTTCCTCTCTTTTCCCCACCTGCCTGGCATCATCACCCACTTCTCCCACACACTGGACTTTTTCGTATTCCTCACCCCTCGTCCCCCAGCACCAGCCCCCTCAGGTGTCTGCAGCTGTTGGCTCTGTGCTCTGTGCTCTGTGCAGAACGCTCCCGCCCTTGGCCCTGTCTCTTCCGGATCTGTACTCAAATGTCACACACGCTGGCCCTCCTTTCTGAAATTGTACTCCCTCTGCCAACACACCCTAATCCTTTTCTTCTTGCTTTATTGTTTTCTCTTTACTACTTATTACCTTCAATCATAATACATATTTTTAATTATTTACTTTATCATTTGTACCCTATCCTATGAACTGTGTAAGCTCTACATGGACAGGGATATGGCTATGTTGTTAACTGCAGAATCCCCTACACACAGACCGGTATGCCTAGCATGCGGTAGCACTCAAGAAATCTTTATGAAATGAATGGAGTTCAGTCCTTTTCCCTTTTATGTTTATGGTCAGCTTTCAGGTTCCTTCTTGGTCTGATTTGCTTCAGGGTGAACTGTCCGAGGGCTTCCATCCTCAGTAATTATATCACCTGGATAGTGATCCCTCAAATGCCTGAAAACTTCTGCCATGGCTGCCAGTTATTAGTGACTCTATTTCCGGCCTCAAGGCCTCCACGAGCCCTATGTCTTCTCTTTGACCACTCTTCTCATGCTCCATTTCTCCTCCCCTGGATCAGTATGACAAGCTCTTCTTCTTCCCATGCAGCAAATGCAGCAGACTGGTAGTGTGCTCTCTAGAAATGATACCTATGACTAGGTGGGTAAGTTTCAATCCGGAAGGGAGAAAGCAGAAAGACCAGTTTAGTCTGGAGTCCAAGGAAGCTCTCCAGTTATAATAGAGCTCATGTTGTGGTACTGAACTCCTACCAGAAGTCTGGATAGTTCTTGACCTAAAGAGCAAGAGAGTGTGATTAATTGAACCCTTAAAACTTAAGCAGTGCAGTGCCTCAGATCCCTAAGAACAGCTGAAGGAGCCCATAAGGCATTCAAAGACAACGTGGAGAGACAAAACTTTTGGTGTGGCTGTAGACCAGTCTTTACTCCTCACAACTCACATGGGTCATTATAGCAAAAGAATGTCTTTTAAGATCAGTTAAGGCCAAAACCTCAGAGCTCGAGAATATATGCTGTGACTGATTGAATTATTGCTCCCAATTCTTCACTATGCCATGGTAGTGTTTTACATGCATACACTTGCCATAGCTGCATGGTGGGTGAAATAGATATCCCTACCCCTCTGTTTATGGGATTGGCCAAGTGACTGGATTTGGCCCATGGGATATTGGTAGATGCGGTGCAAGCTGAGGACTGAAATGTGCTTATGTGGCTGGGTTTTGTGTTCTGGTAACTCTGCCATTGCCCTGAAAAGAGCATGCCTTAGGTATCTGTTGATGTATTGCTCTGGGCTCTAAAATGAGACCTGTAGAACTAATCCTGACTGGTAGCCTGAATGCACATGCAGTTGACATCAACTGGGGATCATCCTCATCTTTACCCTCTGCCCCTCAAACACATGGGCAAAAAAATAAAATTTGTATGTGAGATTTTGAGGTTGTTTTTGTGTAACATTGTTGTGGCAATAGCTAGATAGTATGTACCTATGATTTGGGAATGCTATAAAGTAAATATATCTCCCCCAAGTTCATATATTGAAGCTCTAACCCCCAATGGTGTAATGTTTAGAGAGAGGACCCTTGGGGGGTATTTAAGGTTAAATGAGATTGTGGGGGTGGGGCCCTAATCTGATAGGACTAGTGTCAGTCCTATCAGATTTTCCTAATAAAAAGAGGAAGAGGTACAGAGATCTCTCTTTTTCTCTCTCCATGCACTCATAGAGGAGAGACCAAGTAAGAACACAGTGACAGATGAGAGGAAGAGAGACCTTACCATACACCTAGACTGATGGGACTTTGATCTTCTACTTCCAACATCCAGGACTGAGAGGAAATAAATTCTGTTGTTTAAGCCATCCAGCCTGTGGTATTCTGTTATGGTATCCAGAGCAGACTAATACAGGGGTCATTAGTTGACAAAATTATTTTTGCTACCAGAGGTTGTTTTTCCTCCTATAGAGATTCTGGGTTCTAAATCAATTTTCTCAATGGCCAATTTATCAAATTCACTTGTTTCTTGTTATGAACTCATTTTCATTTTGTCTTCTTAAAATCATACTTTGTTTCAGTTCCAGTCTCCTGCTGCTTAACATGGTTAATATACCTTAGGTAAATTCATTGTGTTTTATTTTTATAATAAATATGTATGATATATTATATAACAGTGAATATAAATATATGTATGTATCAACCTGGATAATTCTCACATACAATATTCAGTTCCAAATAAGCAAGTTGCAGGGTATGTGTATACCAGATGACATCATTTGTGTTAAATTTAAAACATGTATAACATTATTATACATAATTTAGGGATACATATATATGTAATAAAAGATAGAGTCATGTGCAAGGAGTATAAACATCACACTCAAAAAAGTAATTCACTTTGAGAGGGTAGGAAGAAGATTCCATGAAGATGGGTATATAAGCCACTTCTACCAAGGTTTTGTTGCCTTTGGTGTCATTTTCTTTTCTTTAAAATAACTTTAAAATTTTTCAATTATGGTTGATGTATAATATTGTGTTAGTTTCAGGTGTACAACCTCATGATCAGACATCCACATAGCTCAGAAAGCAATCACCCCGACAAATCCAATACCCATCTGACACCAGACATAGTCACTACAACATTACTGACCTTATTCCCTATGCTGCACTTTACATGCCCATGATCATTCTATACCAATTTGTACTTCTTAATCCCTTCACCCAGCCCCCCAACCCCTCTCCCATCTGGCAACTGTCAAATGTTCTCTGTGTCTATGAGTCTGTTTCTGTTCTGCTTGTTCATTTATTTTGGTTTTTTAGATTCCGCATACAAGTGAAGTCATCTGGCATTTATTTGTCTTTCTCTGTCTAACATTTCATTTGACACAGAACACTCTAGGTGCATCCATGTTTTTATGGCTGAGTCATATTCCATTGTATATATGCACCACTTCTTTATCCATTCATCTATTGATAGACACTTCAGTTGCTTCCATATCTTGGCTACTGTACAGTAATTCTGCAATGAACAAATGGATATTTTTTTGATTTAGTGTTCTGGGTTTCTTCAGATAAATATCCAGAAGTGAAATTTCTGGGTCTTTATTTGTCAATTGTTATAGTCTTTGTTTCAAAGTCTATTTTGTCAGGTATAAGTATTGCTACACCAGCTTTTTGTTTTGTTTCGTTTCATTTTCATAAAATATATTTCCCATCCCTTTACTTGTAGTTTGTGTATGTCTTTGATATGAAGTGAGTCTCTTCTAAACAGCAAATGTAAAAGTCTCATTTTTGTTATC